AAGATGTGAAATAAAAATTTATTAACTGTCTAAAGAATAAGAAGAGAATGAAAAGTTTTAGAAATATTTAATATTTGCATGCATATATTAAAACATGGTAAAAGAATTCACACGTTTAAAAACTCTACCTTTTTCTTCTTGCAGGAAACAGCATAAATAGCATTGGTTCTAACATTTTCTCCCCTTCTCTCATTACTCTGATAGCTGGACTCTGCCTCTTTCTCAGCATCCGAAAGATAGGTATCCATGTCCTCATCTTCACCATAATTGCCTGATATTTCCAGGGACTGCACAGGAGATCTGTCACTACCATCAAAATTCCAGTTGGGCCTGCAAGTAGAAAGCAGTTTAAAGTCTGTTTTAGCGTTGCTTACTTTTCCATAAAAATAAACACTAGTAAAGTAGAACCATGGTCTTACAATAAACACAAGTCCAAATAGCCAAAACAAACAGACATCTAAGCTTCTGTTAGCTGCAAATGAGGAATATAGCTTATCTGTATGCTTTAAAATAGATGGTTAACACTGCAGCTACATTTTCTTCTCTGCCTTAAAAAGCAAGCCAGATCAGAGATAGAAGGTTGCTAACTCTACTGGAAGAAGAGTCTGAAATAACTATTTAGCACAAAGGAAATATCTGATGTAATTCAGATGATTACTCAGTGATTAACTGTTTGTGTAACTGACTGTTATTTGGCAGAAATAATACATGGTTTTACATGTGACTGCTGTGCAACCCAAATCTCAATGCCATGCATCCAGTGAAAACTGTATTCAAACAACGCCTTATAAGAAATGGGGTAAGGACCCAATTTATGATGTGATCAGAAAAAGTCAGTAGCTATAATAGCAGGAGTTTGCTGTAACTCTAGAAAACTTTTAGCACTGGCAAATTCTATTTGTAATACAAGGTATCAAACCACAAAGTATGCACTACCCCATTCCGATCTCTGTGGCTGTAGCATATGGTTCAAAACATTCCTGTTCCACATAGCTGGAATCACTTTCAGAAAGTGATCGCTGCCGAGGCTGAGGAATAGCAACAGTGCGCCCTGTTAGTGTTGTTGCAAGGATAGCAGCTGCTAGAGCTGATCTGGAACAAAACAGAACAAAGCGATGAAACAATACTGTCTCCTCTGTGTTCCACATTTTATGCCTTTTTTTTTTTGTTGCAAAATATTTTCACTATTTAAGCAAAGCAAAATGTTCAGTTAATAGGCATCAGCAACAAAACTCCCAAAGTAAAGCACAGAACCAGACAAGCTATTTTAACACATCTATCTTAAGAGTAAAATACAATACCTGTTGGGTTTTCCAAATCACATGCATGAAAATCATGGAATATACTGAGTTACATTCCCCAAATTGACAAAGATAATTTACAGCACTTATCATTCACTTTAGCCATAACAATACTACCTGGCATTGTGTTGAAACAGTGTTCCATATTCTGTTATTTTGCCTTCTAGTTTCCATTATTCCCTAATCTGAACCTTTTACTGGTAACTGAAGCTGTTAACAAACGCTGGAACATTGCAGAGTAGGGCAAGTATAAGTAGATAGAAGCGCCTATTTGTGGGATGCTGCAGAGAATAGGGAAGAGTAAGATGTAGAAGAAAAAACAAGTAGGAACAAAGATTAAAGAAGAGAAACAGTGAGGACCATAAAAGAAATAACAGCAACTGGAGGCCAAAAAGGAAGAGGTAATGAACTAGGATTAAGTAGGAATCTTACAGACACTAGAAATACCAAGGAAGACAACCAGAACTGAACTAAACAGAGAGAAAACAAATAAAATACTGTAAGAAACTACAAATGAAAAGAAAAATAAAGTCTTATTTTCTGTTTATGCAACTTTCCAATGCAGCTAATTCAAATCCAGTCCAGCATGGTTTTACATGCCATTTTTTTTTAAGTCCCTGCTTTTTTTAATATAAAGTGGCACGTTAGTTAAATTTCCACTTTTCTAATGAGCTAAAATTTCCTGACTCGTGGTACTAATACTGTTACAGTACTACATGCTACTGTAGCCAAATTCAAAATAGCCCCAACTTTAAACAGTTAATTTGTCTTTTATTGACTCAGATTTATAAGGAGTTATATATTCATAATGGTCATTGTCCTAATTATTCAGCATGCTTAAGGAGTGGAAGAAAAACAGGAATCTTTAAAATTCAAAGAAGGAAATTGCCGCAGGTAAAAATACATTCCATTTCTGAAAATGTTCACATAAATACTACAACAAGGACATGCAATTCTTCTAACCATGCTTTTCTAGTATACAATTGCAACTGATGATGAAAAAACCAAACCAAAACAAAGAACTAGACACCTACCTGGGCCTTTCTGGAGAAGGGTTTGGACTACGAGGGGGAGGGGTGCGGGGAACTGCAGGTTTAGGAGCTATGGTAGCAGCAGGGACCAGGCCATGAGCTATATGTTTCTAAACAATTTAAAATAAAATTAGTTGACAATGACTTTAAGGATCACAATTAAAAAAAAAAAAAATCAACCCACAAAACTGAACATGCACAAAACCTAACAATACAAAATACCTTAAAAAGAACAATTACATGCAATTAATGTAAACAAACTAAATGGTTCCAAGTTTAACTTTTTAACATGTATGATCAGCTGTTAATAAAGGTTAGAAATGTAATTTATGTAAAAGCCATGCACGTAGGTTTTCCATCCACTGTATTACAATCTGCAAAACCAGAATTTGAATTTACTCAATTCAAGTTTGGCCTGGTTTGGTTTTGGTTTGGTTGTGTTTTTTTTGTTTGGTTTTTTTTTTTTTCCTTTTGTACATATACAAGAGAAAAGGAGTAGTAGAAATTTACAAAGGATAACATTAAATACAAGGTCAGAAAAACTGGAGCTGGAGCTCTCTACAAAAGAGTATTTTGAATGGAGTCACATAACGGTTGAAGTTGAAAGGGAGCTCTTGCAATTATGTAATCCAAGTCCCTGCTCAAAGCTGGGTAAACTAGAAAGGGCTGCTGGGATCCTGTCCAGTGGGTTTGGAGTATCTCCAAGGGTGGAGACTCCACAACCTCCCTGGGCAACCTGTTCCATCATCACAGTATTTTAAAAATTATTACTGTGGACCACCCCTACACTGGTCCTTACAGTATAATTTTATATTATTACATTTGATTTTTTTGTGTTTGAATTTACACCCATCTGCCTCTTGTCTTTTCTCTACACATCGGAAAATACTATGTCACAACCAAGCACATCGCCTTTTTTATGGAGTAAAACAGGATAAGTTTCTGGTATTTCTGCAACAGTTTGGAGGTTGGGTGTTTTGTTCGTTCATGCGTGTGTGTGTGTGTGTCCCCGTCCGCCCCCCAGTTATTCTCGGTTGTCTTCTATAGCAGGGTAATGAACAGGTGAACTGTGGAATATTTCTGCCTTTACAGGAGGGCGCATCAAATAACTAAATGCTGCATTACAAAGACTGTCTCGGTCTTACACTGCAAATGCTCTTTAATTCTATAAGTCTGTCTGATATGCACCATTCTGTTAACTAAAGACTATTAACAGCAGATGTCTTACTGTGATTATCAAGGAATACAGCTGAGGGAGAAGGATGCTGCCAAGCCTCAAAGTAATCCAATATGAGGTCAATACTTTGTTTTCATTCTAGTAACAAAAAAACCCCACTTCAATTACTTCAAGAGTGTTGGATGCCAACATCCGCACCTTTGCTAACAATACTACAACCCTTGGCTGCTCTAATCTTTCACGATGAGCTTTCATCAGTTCCCTCTGCAGCAGCGGCCATGCGCTCGGAAGATCAACTCCACAAGCGCTAGCAGCGACCGAGCCGCGCGTCCGCCGGGGGATCCAGCCACGACAGCGCTGGGAGTGGAAGGGAGGGAACCGCACCCCGCCGGGTGCTCTGGAGCAGACACGCAGGCCCAGAACTGAGGGAAGCACCGCACCAGCACCCGGCCTCCGCACACCTCTTCTGTGCTTAGGATTTATCTTTCTTCCCGTTTTTCACTTCAAAGTGCTCAGCCATCACCGGCATCAACCGCCAAGGCACCGCCACCTTCCCCGAGGGCCTCCTCTCGCCCCGCCCAGGCACGGACCCCCGCTTCACAGGCACGGAGACGAGGAGCGGCAGGAGCGGTACTCACGAAGGCGCCCCTACGGCCTCTCCTGAAGCTGAACGACACCGGGGTCTCCATCGCCACCGCCTCCCGAGTACTTGCTCTCCGCAACGGACGCTTCTCTCGTCGCGAGCCGCCTAGCAACAACGACGCGACAGATTTGCTGAGGGTTTGCGCTCCCCCAATCAGTACGCACCTTACTCAGTCCTCTACCGGCCTAGCAACCTACCAGTGGTGAGGCCCGTCCCACCCCGCCTCCTCATTCGCTCACGGGCGGTGGGGCTCTCGCTTCCTATTTGCTGGCTCAGCTGTCAGCCAGGCGGGCGATAGGAGGCGGGCTGTTCGTGTGGTGTTGAAGGCGGGGAAGTCTTCGGAGCGGGGACCTGGTGTTCCGGCTGGTGTCTCCGGCTGCCGAGGGACGAGTGCGGCCCTGCGAGGCCGGGCGCCCGGAACGGAGCTCAGCCTCTTCCGAGGAGGTCAGCGGTGCCCCGCTCCTCTGGAAGGAGCCCGGGCGGGGCTGTAAGATGTGGCTCGGGGTGTCGGTGTTTGCGGTCGTACCGGCTCGTCTTTGGCTCTTTAAATCGTGCCTTACCCTCAGAGGCTCCGGTTTTCCCCTAAAGTTAGAACACTACATAAAGCTGAAAATTATTTCTGCCTTCTAATAATCTGGCTGGAGACTTCTACCAACTGAGGGCTGGAGGTGCCTGTCGAGCCAGCTTTGTAATTGAAGCAGGCTTTCTCCCAGCAAGGGCGGATGAAGGCGTAGGAAAGGCAGTGTGCTTTTGTGGTTTGTTTTTATGGTTTGTTTTGGGGTTTGTTTGTTTGTTTTTTTTTTCCTTAACCATCAGCTTGTCATAATTCAGGTATTTTTTTTCACTGACTGTGTGGTTAGTAGAATTTGCAATCGAACAGCCTGTATTCAAGTAAACAGAGATGCTTATTGATTTTATATGTTAACTATAAGGTGGCATCAGAGAGGAGATAGTGTCTCTTCCAGAGCATTACATCTTACACACTTTAATAATAAAATAAAGATTGGAACAGTTTTATAAAATGTGTTAATCTCTCACTTTTTTTTTCTAGGGTATTACTGTTACCAATGACAACGAAAGCAAACTTTCCTGTGGCAGCAGGATCTGTAGTTGTACCTTACGGGCATGTGATTGCAAATGAGAAGTGGAGAGGGTCACAGATAGCCCAAAGGCTGCAAGGTAAGCACAAGCAGGAAAAGGAAAAGCAATTCGAACAAAGCTTCCCACTCTGTCGCTCAGTATGGTTAAGGTTACCTGGAATATGCTATATTCTCTGCCTGATTGATCCTGTATTTGTGGTGCAATCTATGTTAGCAGGCTGAAAATTATTTTTTGTCTATCATGTATCTCCATGGTCAGTTCTGTCATATTTGCGTAGCACTGCAGAGAAGGAGCAGAAGTATCTGCTTCTTGGGAACTGCAGCAGTGGGACTATTGTGAACATGCATCTCCACTGAAGTCCCTTGAATTCACGTGGATACCGGGACTGTGCTATCATCTCTTGGCACAGCAAACTAAATTAAGGTGATCCTTTCAGAATAGCATGTAATAGTCTCTGTTAAAGACCAGAGTTCACCAAGAAGCTACAGTACGTTCAAGTCTGTAGTTTGGAAGTGTTATTAATTGGCATTACTAAAGGCATCACACAGTACTTTGAATTGCTTATACCAGCTTTGCTTAAAAAGATGAAAAGCTTTCAAAGAATATGAAGTTCATTGTCAAGTCACTAGGATTACTGACACATTAGGAAGATTATACTGTGAAGTAATTATTGGTATCTTTTCAACTACTGTATATTTTTTTTTTTCTGTTAACCATCTCACCTTCAGGGAAAATTAGACTCATCTTTGAAGATGACTTGGGACTTGTGGATTTTCATATTTCAAACAGAATTTGCATTTTATACATTTCTGAAGCAGATGTGGTTGCAGGGGATGAATTCAAACGAAGATTGGTTCGGTTTAGAAATGTAAGTACTACACAGAGAAAAGGAAGAGTTTTCAGTTGGTATTTGTTTATTCCATGCTTCTGTTATTTATAAATTCTAGTGGAGCTCAACTTTTGTGATAACTTACACCTGAAAGCTGAAAAAATAAGCAGGTAATTGTTGTGCTAAACCTCAGTACAGTTGCTGCAACTTCTATTTTTCCTCTGTTCCACTTCCAGGCAGCTGATATTCAATAGAAATTTTCTCTCTGTTGCATTGCATCTACTTTTCATTAAGTCTTTTCTCCTCTTTTTGTTTCCATGCAGGCCAGTAGTCTTGGGGGAATTGTAATTATAGAGAAAACTCAAATAAGTGATCAGTACTTCTCAGCAGTACAAAAGCTTGTTGTGCTAGAACTTGGAATGGTGTTGCTTCCTGTGGCAAATCAAGGAGAAGCTTCTCAACTTATTATTCAGCTAGTAAGTTTTTACATTCGTGGACAAATATGGGGCATGAGAATGACCTGTTTTCTCACACTTATCACGCTTTTCAAAAAGAATACCTGAGATCTTAAAGGAACACAACGTATGTTGTTGCTTAAATGTAAGGAATAAATATGCTGCAACAGTAATAGTTCAGTGGAAAGAGGGCTTATTTGGGGAAAAAAGTAAAAAAGGGGAAGAGTACTGGATTTTTTTTCATGTGATCGTGCACTCAGGTGCCACCGAATAGCATTAGGCAATCCTCATTTCAGTTCTCCGTCAAAAACAACTTGAAATTTTGCCTTGTCTCATGCTGGGGAAACTGCATTCTTATTTGTTTCTCTTTTCCTTTATCTGTTCTTTGATTCCATCAAAAAGATGACAGATTAATTGTTTTAATTCATGGTTGGTATTAAGAGACCTGGCTTCCTAGTGAGATGTTGTGAATCTGCGTAAAAGCCCATAATAAGGGTGCACACTTAAGGAGGGAGCTAGTTAAAACTTCCCAGTGATTGCATTGAACTCAGTTAAGATGAAAGGAACTATTTTAAACCACAAAAGCAGCGCCCCAGCAGAGGCCACTTAGTGTCGCTTACGAGTTTGTTTTGCTTCAGGTTGGTGAACAAAGTAAGGATCACAGCAGTAACCCCTTTCTCCATAAACAACGTTCTGGCCTGGCAGAGCCATCGATGTTAAGGACGGTGCAACAAATTCCAGGAGTTGGGAAAACAAAAGCTCTACGTTTACTGCAACAGTTTGGAAGCATCCACCGGCTTTGCAATGCATCTGTGGAAGAGCTTCAGCTAGTAGTTGGACAAAGGGCAGCACAACAAATCCGCACTTTTTTATGTTCTTGACAGGCACATGTAGTGCTGTTTTAGGAAACAGACTTTTTGTTTGTTTCTTAGAATTATAAAATTTTGTTTTCAATAATAGTGTATTATGGCAATTTCTATAATCCTGGTAACAGTTGGAAGGTGTTGACTGATTATCTAGGTATTCTGCTACTACTGCTTTAGAGCTGTTCTACCCATGTGGATTAAGCTGTAAAAATCGCTTTGGGAAGAGGGCTGTAAAGTGTTTTGCATCTGTGTTGTACAAAAACAAGAGAGAAGGCAGTCTTTTTCAGCATCCATGGAAAAATACAGAGAAGCAATTTGCTTGCCTGCTTTCATCTTCCTGAAGTAAACACCTTGTTATAATACTGGGAGGTGTGATCTTCTCAGTAGTTAGAGATGTGAGTTACAGTGCATCTGTTGCTTTATAGTAATATATATTAGAACATTTTGAAATTCCTTTGGGAAGTCCTACAGGAATAAATGTTTGACTTTATTCTAACTTATTTCTGTGTTTCCTTTTTGAGTTCACAGGGTGTTATCAAATTTACTCTCTTGTGCCTAATACCCAAAATCTTGGTTAATTAATGTTTTCTTTTGAATATAGGTTGCAATAATAAATTTCAGTATATTTTTAAATATTATCAAGTGTAATGTTTTAATTATAAATTATAATATGCTCTACAACCAAAACTTTTTATCAAAATTTATAATTTCCCTTATTCTTTCACTATTCATATTTTCAAAAGTTATTTGTAAAGAGGATGATTGGTTTTCCTGACATCCTGCATTTGATTTTAAATTATATTCTTATTTAATAAGGGTGAAATCGCCTTTTCCCTTGGGTGCCCATTATGGAGGTGTATAAAAAAAGCTTCTTTCAGTCTGCTTGGGTCACAGCAGGAAGGCAGTTGAGCAGGATTTTCAACTCCCTTTTGTAAACTCAAGAGAAGTGAATAATAGAACCTTGGCACCTTTGTGACCAATCTCACCCGCTGGTTTGCAGATAAACCTGTGTTATGGTTTAAGCCCACTTGGTAATTTAGCACCACCCAGCTGTTCACTCCCCTCTTCTCCCTTCTGGTTGGAATGGGGAGGAGAATCAAAAGAATGTAAAACCCCATGGGTTGAGATAAGGACAGTCCAGTAACAAGGTATAACACAAAACCACTACTGCTACCACCAGTAATGATGATAAGGGAAATAACAAGGGAAGAGAATATAAAACTAAAGACAGAAAGGAGAAGAAACCACCAATAAACACAAGTGATGCACAATACAACCACTCACCACCTGCCAACCTATGCCGAGCCTGACCTGAGCAACATTCTGGGCCTTCCAGGTGACTCCCCCCAGTTCCTATACTGGACATGACGTGCTGTGGTATGAAGTACCCCTTTGGCTAGTTTTGGTCAGGTGTCCTGTCTTTGCTTCCTCCCTGCTTCTTGTGCCCCTCGGCCATGGCAGAGCATGAGACTGAATAGTTCTTGATCAGAGTAAGCATTACTTAGCAACATCTAAATCACCGGTGTGTCATCAGCACTGTTCCCAGACTAAAGCCAAAACACAGCACTGTACCAGCTACTAGGAAGGAGAAAAACAACTGCTACAGCTGAACACAGAACAACTGTTATTTATATTGATTCTGTAGTTGGGATGAAAGTACACTTACATATAACTTAGGCATAAATATTTAACTTGTACAATAATAACCACCAGAATTTTCAAGAACAAGATAATACTTTATTACAAATAGGGAATTGTTAAGTTTCTTTATAAATCTGCTTCTTTATTGCCTCATCTCTCAGACTCACTCTGCTATGGAGACTCGATTTCACATCTAAAATTATGTGCCCATTGATGTTGCAAAATTAACACCTTTTTAATTCTTCAAATGGCCTACTCCATGCAGTAAATAAAGTTCAAATAGTAACAGTTACTGTTAATGGACTTACAAACTGAGCTAGTAACTTACTGCAAACCTTCATTTTCACTTTATAGTAGCCTTGTACATCTTTGTGGGTAGACACAAATACTCTTGTGATCTGAGCAAGAAGGTAACTTGCTATGAAATTAGTATTTGCCTTAAGTAAGCTGTTGGCTACCACTCAGTGTAGAGTGACTATTCACATAGCTGACAGAAAATACCAAGTATGTATTTGAGAAGTCCCAAATTTTTACTTGGGCTGTTGGAGGGGTTCAGGATGCACTTAAATAAAAGACAACCCCCAACTTTTCCTCAAGGACTAGCAAGTGTGGTGATGGGAATGGAAAGGCAGTTAATCATGCAGCCAAGAGGAAAGATATCAGCAGGAAGGCTATCATGGTGGGCTAAGAAAACAGAGCTGGAACTCATGTGACTTTAACAAAATCTTTGGCAGATTGATAGTAATTTTAGCCATACATACAATGTAAATCTTTTCTGTATGCAATATTGTACGGCAGGGTCTTAGATATCAGTACAATTGCTGCTGCTTGTGTGTGTAAAGAAGTGCTGCTGCAAGTACATGCGAAGAATTAACTACTAAGGATAGGTGAGCCAAGTAATATACAACATTTTATGTACACTTTAAAGGGAAACTCTAGAAATATGTTAACACTCCCTAAGGAAGTAAGTTTTAGACTAATTAAGTTCCTGTATTATACAATACAAACTGAAGACAGTTTCTGAGGTCTTTCTAAGCAGTATTATAGAAACATGCAAGAGGTATGCCAGCACCAGAGAGTGAAAACCTACAAATTATGTGATATTATGGAAACTGCAGCAGAATCAAAGAGCTACTACAAAATGGCATAAACTGATTTTTATTATTCTTAAATAAGTATCATCAACATATTTACATCTATTACATAAGAAACTAAAAAATGAATGACAACTTTCAGGTCTACACTCAGATAAAAACTTGCCCTTTAAGTTTTGAGTATCAAACAGCATATATCTACTCTGTAGATGGCAATATTAACTAACACTACAGTGTTAGCAATCTTCAATTATTAGCAAGTTCAGAAAACAAAAGAATCTCAGAGAAATGCTCACACAGTTATTTTTTGTCTCCCTCCTTAATATATATAGCCCAAGCTTACTCATATCCATTTGGTTTTTTACTTGGTGCAATAGTAAATAAATATTCTCCCACTCAGACTCAAGCACTCTTTTTATCCCCACAGTTTATGTACTCTTGATCAACATACTAGAATATATCACCTTTAACATTTGTTCCACAGCTATCAATTTTACCAAGACTAATGAGATTCAAGTCTTAAGGTAAGTTAGTTGCATAATTTCAAGTTTGGAATAAAACCTGTTTTTAACAATTGAATCATCAGGCATTTAAAATGTAGCCTGGATCAGAACAAGAGCAGAGTAGAAGCCTTTTGTAGTTCAAAAGATCTTCTGACTTCTAAGCCTTCTAATTCTCTTCCAGAATCAAATTAACTGTTCACTACACCTAGTACTCACAGCAAGCAAATGTCTCTGTGTAAACCCCACAATTACATGACACTGCCTCTTGGCACAAGACTGGTTTCTCTGAATAACATTATTGTCTTTTGCCTGTGGTTTGTAAGATAATTCTTAAAGTAGTGTTAAGTGATTAACTCTAAACTTTTACAGAAAAATCATCCTTTAATGTTTGTTTTGCATGCAGCATCAGTTTCTAATAAATAACTTCTATCCGTTATAAAAAAAAAAAAATCAGTCATGATACTGTATTTTGAAATTCCAAAGGAATCCAGTCCTCACTTAAGCAATTTCATCATCTACATCTTGTTATTGCATAACTCCCAAGCCACTTCATTCTAACCTTCAGTACGTAAGTTTTACAGTTTTTGCCAGGCCCTGACCTTCACAGTGGCTCAATGCACAGTAAATTGTCAGTGGCATTTGTCTGAATTTATACGTATATATATAGAAATAAAGTTGATCAACATTTTTGTATACATTCAAAAGAAACACATCATGTTAAAAGATCCTTCTGAAAGATTCAATACAATGAGCTTTCTGTATTCAGAATTGTGAAGGGAGAAAGCTTCTTCTTAACTTGAGAGCTTCCAGCCACAGCTGAAGGCAGGCAGAGTGTGCTTGCAGCTTTCTGTCTATTTTTAGTTCCCCAACTTAGAAAAGGCAGTTTCAGTGGGGCTTTCTTCGTCTGATCAATCTTATCCTCTTCCATGGCTAAACAGATTAGGGAGTATGTCTTCTGCATTCCCACTGAGTAAGTTGCACTCTTACTATGCTGTAGGAAAGAGACAAGAATTAGAACAGTCAGCCAAAATGGGTCAAAATTTTGAAGATAACAAAAGCTTACTGTGCAAACAGTTTTCCAAGGCAGAGCACAGCAAGCTCTCTGTGCTAATGACATACTAAGCAAGCACAAGACCCTTCAGAGTGCTGCTGTTGTGGTATTTTGCCCATGTAGACGGAAGAGTATACTACACACAGTGTAACGGATTTGTAAATCTTGTCCATGGGTTGAGTTATAGCTAGCATTTGCTGGCTTCTAGCAAACTGTATAATATAAAACCTCCCTACAAAGCTTAGGTATGTAGTCCTTGCACGGATCTTTGAAGGGAAGTCTTTTCTTCTGGTTTTGGATAGGTTCCATGTTGACTGCAACTATGATAAGAGCACATAGGGCATCCTTTAGGGATACCTGAAAGGCACAGCCTACTCTGTCCTCTCTGAGCTCTGCCCTGAAGCAATTTGATTATATTGTAGTCTCTTGTTTCCAGTAGCAGCTTAGGCAGCCAGGAGTGCAATTCCTTACTTTCAATAAGAAAAATCAACTTCTTAAACCAAGAAAACCTAGCAGCAGTAAGAGTACCGTGATTACTTCTACTAAGGCAATGCTACTTCAGTGCCTAAGCTTGCCAGGGAATGTTAGAAGCAGTGGATTTAGCTGAACTACAGGTTCTCTCACACTACAAATAAGCTACTTAGAGCTTAACAGTTTTTAATCTTGTGATTATTTCTCCTTAGCCCAGAGCTTCTATGCAGCTTAATAACTGACTAGACAGTTAAAGTCCACCAAAATAAAAAAAATACATATACTGATTCATGATGTAACACAGAAGTCATGGTCATTTATGTTACCAGGACACGGAAAATAAGCATGTGGTCTTGGATGTTCTATTTCATGCCATTATTACTCCATTGTGGCTTTTCCAGTGCTGAACATGGCAATATTTTCATACTCTATTCCAAGTTAGAGAAAAATAAACTATACCCTGGAATTTATAATGCAATTGAAGTAGCTCCACTACATAGAAAAATCACCACCCAGCCATTCTTGTGCACCCATCTCTAATTTAACTTACCAAGTCAGAATGATTTAAACAGGCTGTTTAAAAGTGAACACATGCCTGAAGGCTTTATATGTTCACTGATGGATTGGGATATCTGACTATATGAAAGTAAGCATTAAGCAGGGACTGAAGGCAGGAAAGTGAAAAACACTCTCACACATCCAATCTGCAAAATACTTTTGCCTCATTACATACCACAGATGCCGTTGTATCCTGGCAGCTGATAACCTCAAACTCGATGGGCTGCTCTCCCACACTTCTGAATTTTTCCAGCACCTCATTCACTCCGAGCCACTTGCAATCCACACCACCAACTGAAACTATGTAGTCACCTTCTTTTAGGCCCATTAACTGTCAAAAAAATTTATGCACAGGTTATTATCTGGAATTGCAAAGAAGGGTAAAATATTTTGTCATCATATGCTATCTGCCCTAAAGGGATTTTCCTCTTATATGCTATAAAGCCATTGTCTAGCCAGACACATAGTGTACTTATAACATAAAAACACAGAGCTTTTTTGAGTACAAACGTTACCTATGTGAGTTACTACTGATAAATGTGAATCTGACATACTCAAATGTTGGCTCTTTTTATGTCCTTTTCACCTTTCTCCTTAATTAAAGGAAACATGTTTTTAGCTACCCTATCAACCCCCATGAGAAATTTTTTCCAGTTTTTACTACTCTTTCTTCAGTATTTTTATTTGTACTTTTGTGGTTGCTGCAGCCGTTCCTATAGCACAGCTGTGCTCGTTACTGCATGGTGCTTTAGCCCTTTGTTTCTCCCCCAGAGAAGAGCAACATATTAGAATCCAATAATATGTCTTTTCCCTGTTTTTCCTTTGGCACATGCTACCTTGCCTTGCCTTCCTGATTCTCATCCTTGCTGTTGTTGCCACTTCCTAAAGCCCTTTTAACTTCCTGAATTACATGGGCAATAACATTTGCTTTTATTATTTGTGACTTTTTATCTATCAGGTGTGAACAAAGGAATTAATTGACTCTAGTTTAAGGTGATGCCAGAGATACAGATACCATAAGGTGTACACAGTCCGAAAATGTGCTCAGGTTATATGAATTGACTATACTGATGTATGGTAGATCTCAATAAAAGCTCCATACACCAGTATGAACAAGTTAAAGTTACATTTAAAAGATTGTGATGCTAGATTCTGGAGACATCATTAATATTGATCCAATGTACTTACCGCTGCAGAACACGCTGGATCAAGACAATAAATTTGTGCTGGTGAACCTCCTTTAAGGCTGAATCCTAGCCCTTCTGCTTCACGGTGGATACGAATGGTACGTGGAGCTGTCCATCTCTGCTTGGCTGAGAACACTGTCAGTGGGCCCTAGAGGTAACAGCAGCAGGCACATTATGGTTTACTGTCATTCATAAGTAAGCATTTCTAATTTTAAGTTACAATGCTTTAAACTTGTCTTCTGTAGATTTTACTCAGGTTAACTTTCAACTACTTCAGTTGAAACGGAACAGTGAGATTTATCCCAGAAGTTTAAGGTGTCCCTGAAGTGCTCTGCACTACTTCATGACAGTTCAGGTGATAATTCAGAGTTGGATGACAGCAACTTCTGAGTTGTTCTGGGATGATCGATAAGGTGTGCAGAATCTTTTGCTGCAACAGGCTCTAAGGTCCTGTATTACTCAGTTTTGGAGGAGATAATTGATCCACGAAACATTGCAAATTCTGATCCTAACCACAACTCCCAATTCCCTTTGCCCACTGATACACAGAGCCACCTGAAAGACTGGCTTTGTAGCATGCGGCATTATACACTCAGCATGCCCATCTCCAAGTCCAACATGTTTCTTCCTGCCTATAAGTTGTATACAATTATCCACTGAAACTTCATGGGACTTTTATGAAGGTTATCAAGAATGAATACTGTGTGAAGCCACATACAAACAGCACTTTACTAGTCTTCAGTTACTGTGTGAAGCCACATACAAACAGCACTTTGCTAGTCTCACACTCACTTTTACCTCTGAAGTGAGGTATGATCTTTCCAATAATGCCTGGGGAAAAACACAGTTACTACAGGATCATTTTTGAGACTAAAATACTTGTGTCTCTTCCCTCATGTTGGAATGAACTTGTACTTGCTAACAAAATGACAGAGGTTGGTCAGCATTAGCATGTTACATACCAGCCTGTGAAAGAAGTCTTTAACTTTGACCTTTGATAACTGGGGGGCAATTGTTTCTATTTTATGCTCTGTTTTAGCTGAAACAAAAAGAAAACCAAATTAATTTTCTCTCAATTGTTAGTTAAAAGACATAATTTTTTCTCTTGCATTCCAAGTTAGATAAAAAATTCTCCTAAATTCTTACTGGGCTGTAGAAAAAACACATTTTTGTGAAAATTTGTAAGACATATCTGAATGCTTTACAAATATCTTCAGAGCTCATACTGTCAATACAGAAAACTTAACACAATCTACCCAAACAAAACTATTTGCTATGAAGATGCTATGTCCATCTTCAACATTTCTCAGGAAAGGAAATTAAAAACCAATGCTCATTCTTTCCCCGTGCTTCCAAAGAGGAAAGAGTTGGATGAGCTGGACTAAGGTAAAAAGAACCAATAGCAGTCAAACTGAGTTAACAGCTTAGGCAATATAAGAGCTGGACTTCAAGAAATGGTAATTTCTCCCCCACCCCCCAGCATGATTTTAGTTTCCTCATTTTTTTCTAGCTCACAAGATGCTTATTCCATATGCATACATATATATAAAATAAAGGTATGGCCCCATGAAAGCATATACATGTATGGCTAGATACCCTTTAGTTCTAGCTGTGTACACTTACGGAGGATATCTGGAGCCTGGATTAGACTGAGAAAGTCATCTTCTGTCTCTTGCTGAGCATATTTGAGAAGTGAGCGCTTGTGTGCAGCTGTCAGAACCTCCTGAAGAACATCAATGTTTCGAAGCTTTTTGCACAGACCGCAGACTCTCAGAGCTTCTTCGTGGTAAATGATGGCTTTGCGCAAGTGTGCTTTCCCTGAAAAAGCATTAGAAACTGTTGGTTGTCATCCACAGGCAATAACTAGAAGGTAATTTTCAAACTGTATCCAGTAGCTGTGTAAAACTGGCAGTTACCCAGTTGTTTTCTCTGAACTTTGTCCTTTAAAATGGTGAGAACCAACAGTCCATCAGGCATGTAGTCATACATCTCGGACAAGGCCTTCTCCTGCTGATCTTCGTCATCACCAGGCTGCACTATAATAATTGAAACAGAACATCAGCCATCACACATCTCCTGGTGCTCTGTTTCTTTAGGTGTATTGTTGCGTATTTGTTACTACCTTCTCTCCAAATGCAGTCACATATTGTTACACATAGATATTGATAGGAATATACAGGGTTTAGGACTTTCATCATTTTTATCATCTGCAATATGCAAGTAATACTTATATCCAGAGTACATCAATAAAAATTGAACAATTTGGTAGCATATAATGATTATAATTTATGCTGTTTTGCAAAAGTTACATAAATTAACTTTCACATTATTCTGTACAGAACAAAAAAAGAAAGGCCTCATATCTGAATGGGAAAATAGATACAAATTAACATACTGAAATCCAAAAGTTCCTGGCTCCTAGACTTACTCAGACCAAATTGTGTTTGTGTTTATTACTGTTATTTATATTAAAATATAGAAAATGTATTATTCTTACATTCATGGTCACACAGAATGGTGGCAATGAAGTAATGTGCCAGAGCTTTGTAGTGGTCTGACTTTATCTGTGCCAGTTTAGACCAGGAATAGGGGATATTTTCTTTCACTGGCTCCTGATTCATTGCAGTGTTAACTAGCATGTAAACCTCTCCCACCTAAAATAAAGCACAGCATTGAAGTATGAGAATATAACAGTAATTATTAGGAGCTCAACTAAGGGACAGTATGTGCAACCTCATGATAATTTTGTGTGCATCACAACAAAGGTAGGGAAAACAAACAAAAAAGAATATTGTTACAAAGTATCAGAAATAAGTTTTGAGAAAAATCGAATTCATCTCTGATTTTTCCCTTAAAAGAAAAGTAAATCAATTTTGTACAAGAACAGATGGACTAAGTCAATCTATGTTACTTCAGAGTTCAGTAAAAACATGATAAAATACATGGGTTTTAATTTACAAATGCATCTCATTGGCTTAATTCAGCTGAGAAAAAGGTTTGCACAACCTCCAGCTGCTGGGAAAGACAACAGGTTGTGTTCAGTACTTAACAGAGAGCTACACAAACAACACTGTCGCTTTGTATGTTGTTCTGTGGACAAGTTCTGTACTGTTTGAAAGAGCAATATGATAAATGGCTTGTAAAAAATATTCAGAAAGTTCGCTGCCCAACTTTTTCAGCAGTTTCTGTTAAACTTCGTGAATTATGGCTTTTAAAAATCATAACAGTTCTAAATTAATTCTATTTAAATTGCAGCTAACTGCATTTTAATAATCTGAAAGGTTGCGATTCTCATTGTAGCTTGTCCATTGTTACACTCTAGTTTTTCCAGTGGTTGTTAATGTTTACTTTTAAGAAATTCCACTTATATTACTAGAGGCTGTAGCTATTACGACAGCACTGTAAATGCTCATTTTAAAATATGAGACTCAAAAGTTAGCCTTTACCTTGGCAACTTCCTGTGTCATTTTCACTAGTGTGAAAAACTCGTTGCGTATTCCAGGGAGACCAATTTGCTCAAAAACACACTCTTGAGCTTGTGCAAGCATCATTTTTACTAGTACGTTCAGCATAGCTGGGCTCATATCATAGCTTGGGGTGTGAGTAAATGTCTCCTTCAAGTAGCTCAGGACTCCTGAAATTGCAAAATGGGTTTTCAGCACTACAAAGAGAAACTTATGAATTCGATTCCAGAATAAACCATAATAATTAGGATTGAAAGCATACTTTCTAATATTGCCCTACAGCAATCTGAAGGGATTCTTAGTACACATGGAACTAGACTGAGTTACAGATTTTGCTTTGCATTCCCATAAAACATCTCCAGGCATAGTTCTCAAAACTACAGTTCAGATGAGCAACAGAAGCTGCAAGTCTTAAGGGCGATACCCTTGGGTTTGCTTCTATCAGTTCTTGTGAACTGAAAAGCTGTGCTGAACAAAATATGACTTGTATGCATGAGTGGTAGGCTAGGGTTTATGCATAGGACAATAGGAAAAAACAAATCTAACACAGTTACAAGGAGGTGACAGTAGAACCCTTGGATGGAGGGAAAACACACAAATTCATTAATTTTGAATCTCCTTTTCAGATGCTGCTAAGTACATTGTGTCCTAGTGAAAGCTCAGTTCCATCCCTGTAAGTAAACTAGAATAGTATATTTAACAGGGTAAAATCAGATTCTGCTGTAGACATTTGGCTCCACCAACACATGAATCATTTCTATCATTTCTCAAATTAAAAAGCAAACGCTAACTGCAGTGCAAATATTAAGTAGCAGTTTCATGGATGGAAGTGTAACCTTCAGCATGCATGTCATCCAACTGGTTTAGTGAGTTCCACTAGTCTTCTAATTGCTGATAATACTACAAAAGTGTAACAATAAGACCTCTGCTTTTTAAGTGTTCCAGCATCCGTACTCTTACTTCTTGCTGCTACATTCAGTTCTGGTCACATTGTGCTGTAATTTCCTACTGCTGGTTTCTGAGATTTTTCATTTTGTTGCACTTGTTTCTTATAACTTATAATTATGCCCTTATACAGCTTTAAATTCAGCAATGTCTGCCTTTTTGCACCAGAACCCCCAACTCCAGACTTGCCAAGCACATCCCACATACTGAAGGAATGCCCTACTGAAAGGGGCAGAAAATACAAGTGGGGAAATACTGTTTTGTTGTTGGTTTTAACATATTTCTTCTTATGCAATAAACATATACACACCAAGAGCTTTGCTGAGGATAAACTGTGCAACATTTTCCATTTAGCACAGAGAAATAGTTAATATGATGTCTCTACCAACATAATGAAGAGTGTTACGGAGCCATGCACAGGTACAATGAAATGCCTTCTGAGCACATAGCTCTGGGGCCCTGCAAAGGTTATGTAGCAGCAAAAAATGCATTTCAATTTGTGAATTAATTCTGCAAATATATCCAAGTTAAAAGCTGTGGGTTTGTTTCTTTTTTTTTTCTTCATTATTTGCAAAATGGAAGGAGCAGCAGCAAAATGGAAACATTTCTGAAGTACTGAAATTTGTTTTAGATGAAATACAAAGGTTGAAAAACTGATTAATAAATGCATAAAGATATACTATCAATTTTTTTGATAGCTGTGTATTCATAAGAGGGGTTTCAGGAGACTCCAGCTCTCTGGTCCACAATTCATAGCTGACAAAGCTATATACAGTGCAAACCAGTAGCCACAGATTGTTAGAGCAGAAATAAGTCTTACAGTACGTGTTAATTACATAGGGCATGTCTTCAAGCATTACATGCAGCACAGATGACATTTACAGAAAAATTTAAATCTACTTGGGAAAAAAACCCCAAAATAAATGCCTCTGACTATGTTAGTTCAAGAAACATGATTCCCTTTACTAGAATTTGTATTTTTCCTCGCTTGGGCAGATGATTAATTTGAACCTGTTTGCCTTTGGAACCCTTGGAAAACACATGGTCAGCTTCCAATGAACTGCAAATTTCACACCAGAGAACACAGTAAGATTAATTTTGAAAAGACCATGTTGAAAACTACATTTAAAACCCTTTATCAACCCTTTACATTGTTTCTTATACAGATTTTACACCTACGTAGTATCACTGAGGCAAAAGCAGTTAGGTTGCTGAAACAAAAATTGAACAATGAAGCAGTTACTGTTGGGGTTATAACTTGGACCTCTGAACTGCAGTTCATAAAGAATGCTGTGGTTAATGATTAATCTGCGTGCTCAGACTACAGTTCCAGGCTTTTATTTAATTCTTCATCTCAGCTGTTCATGAGGCTTGAATTTCCCTGTTCTTTTTTTGTGTACTAAAGTCAGATGAGGAACATCAGTGTAAAGACCTTCACGATATTTTAAACTTTGTACCTGCAGCTCTCTGAAAAGCATCCACAGCGTTTTCAAGTCCAGCCTGGGTCTGACGATTGCATCTTGTTCCAATCTGGGTGTAGAGGGCTCCAATATTGAACAAAATGCTAGCTTTTTCAAGTAAAAGGTTTGGCTGACACACTGGGACACCTGTGAAGGAATCGTACCTTGGGAAACAAATATTACAAGTGTTAAGATTAGCAAAGTCCATCAAAAGATATTTTTGTAAAGTTTTTCAAAAAATGCAGTGGAATTCTCAATTATTTTTTGCTTGTGTGGAAAAGGTGAACGGAAATACTACAGTGTAGGACAATGTAGATGCTGAACGTCAGAGGCCAGCTTTATTGGAGGCTTAGTTTTCAGCAAATTTTACAGCAGTGCCTCCATAAGCATATTATATCCAACTCATAAGTGCCTATAAGACATCAGAGAGGCTGAAAATATACTGGGGAAGCAGCTGTGTGTGCTGCTATATTCTCGTACTTAGATGTTGCCAAAGATCAACTATTGGCATGGGCAGATATTCTATAGTTTTGAAATTTCTATTTGCAGTTCTGACTAAAAATGTAATGGTTCCTCTTGGCTGCATCATAAAATGCTTTTTTTCATCATAAAAATGCTGAATTCAGACTCAAACTTTGCTCACCGATGTGGTAAACACTGCTATAACAAATTAAGCTGCTCCTCCTCATTTCCAGGACGGGAATTAAAGTCTGACCCATTTCCCATCTGCATCATGCAACAAGGTTCAGAGTTCAGGAAACATCTACCATTGATCAAAAAATAAAGAGTATTTTCTCTCTTTTTCTCTTGTGCTAACCTGTAGCCCAAGTCATTTTCCATAGACAATGGCTTCACTATAAGTGTGATAAAGGTGTACTGTATTCAGGTTTATTCTTAACACTAAAAGAATAAACTGGCAACACACACTGCAGGGAATAGTGGGGGAAACACACTGACTTGATTCAAATTAAACAGAAAACAGTTACTGATTAACTGTGTTTTGAAAAAGAAGAGACAAGACAAACACGAACTACACTTACCATGTAAATAAAACTCCCATGTGCCTGGTGGGTGGGAAAAATCTGTTTTCTACATAACCAAGTTGAAGGAAATAACTTATCAGCATCTCAATGCCAGCTTCATCTCGGCTAGGAGTGCGGCAGGCCTTGAATTACAAGAGATTTAAATGAAGCGTATTCTGTTGAGTTACAGGATGAGTACAGAAACACCAAGGATAAGACTCTGTGGACTTGTGCATATCATAAAAATGTTTGGAATCCGAAAACAGTAAGCTTAAGGCCATATGGATGCATTCCAAATAAGAGTTTTTCAGCTGCACAAAAGTAGCACATAACCTTTAAGGAAGCTAATAGGATCTGTTAGGCAATTCTTAAAGTTAATTATAAAATTGTAGGTATTTTATGAAAGCTACAAAGAAAGTTTCTAGCATAATACAGGAAACACCATCATTCTACTACAGTGTTTTGCCAGATGAATTCCCTTCAACATTCTTCCTGCTAACTTTATAGTACTTTAAAGTTAAAAAGTAGGCAAGACAAATCTTAGATTTATAAAGTTGTGTCAACAGCTCAATCACTTTGCATAACTTCACCCTTTTCTTCACTTGTTCTCTACTAAGATTGTAAAGCTCTTTGACAACAGAGATTCATGTTCCGTATCTCAGAAACTAAGTGAATACGAATATGATGAGTTAAAAGTAATAGGGACATATTCTAATTCCATATAAATGCTAGTATTTTCAACTGCAGATTGAAAGACCTCATGATATACCAAACTTGAACTTACTTGTCTCAGATCCATGAGATCTGCTATTTCGTCTTCATACTCAGAACTGTCTTCACTATAATGTTCCAGAATAAAGTCCTAAAAAAAAAGGTAATATCCAATAATCAACTAAACTACTTTTTCCTGCAATTGCAAAAGGTATAAAATTGATTCAGTTGTTATTTCCATGGTGTCTACTCCCTTCTAGTCAACAGTACAATAACATATAGCAATGAGACTACAAAAAGACAATAGTACAAATAGTTTGATATTATATCCAAGATGAGAAATTTCAGTAAAGGAGCAGAACACCTGTCACATCAACTACATTGGGTTTTAAAACACCACCACTTAGTGGTTTTGAAAGGGATAAGTGAGCCCTGTTAGCTAAAATAACAAAAGAATCAAGTGACCATAAAATCCTGTTAACTGAAAGAGGCTGACAAATTCTTGTCAGCTATATTACAGCAATTCCACTTATATAATCAAAGATGCAATGGCATAAAGTGGTACCATAATCTGACCATGGAGATTAAACTACAAAAGTAAAAGCAGAAACAAATGCTATAGTGATAAGATAGTTTACCATGAGAAAATCCACATTGCACAATATGCAGTGGTCCAAAAAAAAAATAAAATACAAAAGTGGCTTAAATAGCCAGCAAAGTATAGTAGCCAACAAACAAGAAGCATTAATGGTGCACCACCGCTTCTCAAATGAGTTAACCTTGGGTAGCTCAAGTCAAATCTTCATTACTACTTCCTCTTGCACCAAGTAGTGATCAATTATCTTATTGGAACCAAAAACTATAGAAAGAATTTTTGTTTCCTTTGATTTTACCGCCTCCAGAATAGGATTTCTTATCTTCTGATTCCTTACCCTGGTCAGGTATGAGCAATGACCCAAATAATTTGCAGTTAATTTTTTTTAAACACATTGTGATCTCAGGTTTAGGGCCAATAAAACAAAAATAATTTGTACATAAGTTACTTCTGATTCTTCAAACAAATCAGAAGTTATTTCTGTTGACTCTTCATTCCCAAATGTGTCTGAAATTTACCTTGAGGGGGAGTGTGAAGTCTACTTCTTTGGTTTCCTTCAGGCCCAGAGGTACCAAGGGAATGCTGAACGTTTCTCTGTGAAAAAAATAAAAAGATTCAAAAATATTTTGTTTCTGTTTATCTGCTGATAATTACTTTTATTTGATGACAGGAAGTTTGTATGCTGACGGGTGTTCAGGTAAAAGGTACATAGTTTATAACAATTCTTTTAAGGAAAGAGTACAGAAAGCTTCCCTTCTCCCCCTGCCATTTAAACCTATTTTTCCTTCAAGGAAAGAAGAGGAGACTCCCATAGGTTGACTTACTGCAATTCAACTTTTATAAACCAAGTTCTATAGACAGAAAACAGCTCCACAGCTGCTAGATCTGCTGCAGTAAGACCTATGGTAATTAGTTATCATTAGTTATCATCAGGGTTTTACACGCTACCAATGCTTTCATATGTAGAAGTGATGGGTGTCAAACACAGGGAAAAGCAGGACTAAAGTGTAGCAACTTTAACAGTGAAAGGTCTAAGAGTAGGAAGTCTGAGAGCTACTCAGTTTCTAAACAAGACCAGGTGTTAATCTATAAATAAGTCAACCACTAAAATATCAAAGGGCAACAAAGGATGAGAACTATGACTTAAAAAAAAAAAAAAAGGATCCTCAAGAGAACATATATATGTATCATGGATTTAAACCTAGATCATATTAGTAAACAGCACTAGCTAATGAGGGATAAATTATGCTGTTTAATTCATAATAGTCTCAGAAGCTGCATATATTGCTCTTCCATTAAGCAGGTTAGCCAATAATAAAAAAATAGTATCAGAATTGCTGCCAGATACAAGTTTGAGTTGGTTTAATGAGTCAGTACCAGACAATAACAAGGTTTATCCAACATTCTTTTTCCTGAAAAAAACTAATTGACTGTCTCATTATTGTTCAGAGCATTCCACTACCAGCTACAAAATCCCACAGGTGTGGCTCATTTATGATTTTATCAGCAAAATTACTTTTTTACTTGTGGAAATTCCATCTCAGGAAGGTGGGAATAGGCATGTAGCTTCCTCAGCAGAGGAAGAGTCCTTAAACTGGTTGGCATGATCCAGAAAGTGGCTCTGTTACCCTGAAGAGGACTTCCATGATTCAGAGCCAAAATGCCACTGCAGGTAGTGCAAATGATCTGATATCTGATAAGGTTTTTTAGAATAAATACCGCCACTTTTACAATAGACTATATCAACACTTTTTCCCCAAAAGGAAGCGAGACACATGCAAAAGAATCCTAACTTACTGATTTAATGACTTCTAGTACCACCCACAGTCCCTGTGGACATCAACATTTGTCATTCAAAGGAACTTGATTTCTATTTTTTTTTAAGTTTCTAAGGTGCCACACCTTTGCAGTCAACATAATGGGGGCTGTGCAGTTAGGGAGGTGATCCTGGGTTTTTTAAGTGAGTAGAAATGGCATCATACTTCGCAATCCAGTTGAGATGTGCGCAAGTACTCAGCAGGCCAACCCTTCAGATTGGTGTAACACAATACAGCGTAATCCAGTACCATGGGCGTGACCTCATGTTCATGACTATATGCACAATAGACTCAGAGAGCAACTATTAATAGCTATTTGCTATTAAAGGCTGGAGAGCAGTTATGGAGGGACTGAATTATTTTAGCTGATGGAACACAAAAAGCATTTAGAACTTGGAATGAACAGTACCAGAAAGGTAAAACACCATTCCAAACTGATTGGGGAAGTAGGATCAGGAGAGAAAAAGCTAAGAATAAGTTAGGTATAATAATAAGTTAGACAGAATGACTGAGGCTTCTACCTGCCTTGGGGTCTGACCTACTGCTCACCCTTCATTGAGAATTCAAGTATTTCAAATATTCCTTAGCTAGAAAAGGGAATATTCTTTCTGGAGTCTTGCACACATAATTTTCATACTGCTCTCTACGCTTCACACATCTATGAAGCCTGGCAAAATCTTGAATGAAAAAAAAAAAAAAAACAAACCAAAAAAACCCCAACAAACCGTTTTCATATCAAATAATTGTCAAAGCTTGTCATATGGGTGGACAGCGGGAACTTTGGCACATTGAGAAAAATTAAATGTTACATCAGGTCATCATTCAGCTGAAAGACACACCACTGGAAATGTGCTTGGTCACTAATCCACCTAGAAGTTAGACCTGAGAACAGTGCTAAGAGGGACTCCAAATTATACCATATATATATATATACACACACATATCATATGAAGTGCTTCAATTTATGTTTTCAGCTGCCAGTGTTAATCATCTATGTAGTTTTAGAAGCAACAAGATACCTACCAGATAGAGAAATCACTACAGTATTCAGGCATTAAAATCTTTAACTTTTGAGCTTTTTCTTTGAGGAATCTATTGCAATGTGAAGTTCAGTGTGCTCTTTAAAGTTGTAAAAACATCTTGGAAAAAGTCCAACTTCACCTGCTAAAAAATCTTCTGATTTACAGATTTCTATTACTGAATTGCACACCAATATTTCAAGTCTGCTTTGAACTCCAAATCGGCGTTCTCCAGCTAAAGAGAGGACTGCTGCATTCACTGCATTTGAGAACAGACGTTAGATCACACTAGGTTTGTTCACTCCAGAATGTACTGAACCAATTCTAGTACTGGAAATTCTGCTAGGGTCCACGTGTCTCCCCATACAGGCCGAAGAGCTTTCAGTTCTTGCAATTCTCTGCTTCACAAAGGAACTCTATATCTAAGGATTAGTACATACCTTTTCCAAGTGAAAGACAAATATGCAGACTAACCCTTAGTCAACAAATCTACCATCAAATGTTCTCTTCATATCAAGCTCTCTGCTCTTTCACACAATTGTTGTCCTGCATTCACATTCACCTAGAAATAGTTTTGTTTCCCAGGGTAAACAGAAGATCTGTTAATAATTGAATAACTTAGCTGTATACTTACTCTGAGTTTTGATAAACTTCTACTGAAATATTAAGTCCTTCCAATTCCTCCTTTAAGATCTGCAGGTCTGAGTTTACAAAACTCAGTTCCAGTAGTACCTGTTCTCTTACTTTGTTATTGGTGGTTGCTCTGCAGAAAGAAAGGAACATCATTCATTTTTTTTTTGCTGAGGAAAAGGTTTTGTGCCTAAGCACAGTTGAGCTCCTTCCTGGCATTCTCAGCATTTTTAAGATTATTTCTTTTTATCTCTTTAAGTGATGTTGTAAGACCAAGAACTTCAGATTTTATTAGGTTTTTATGTAAAGAGAAAGCATAGGATATTTTGCAGATAACAGCACTCAGATACATGAAAGGTTTGCTATGTGCAAAAGGGTTTTTAGTGTGATTTGAATGTCAGGCTCATTTTCAATACATTAATACTAAAGCATCTTAAACAGAATCACTATCCTATTTTTCAGATTATGTGATATTTTCATAGAAGAAGATATGAGGGTGGAGGTAGGGGGGAGTCAGGAGATAATTTTTACAAAAGGTACTTTCCCACTTTATAAATTGAATTATGAATTGAATTATAAATTGAAGCAAGTTGACACTTCTCATCATACGAATACAAGGAAACAACTTTCTCACAAAACTGCTAACTACAGAATGCTTTAGAATCAAAAACACAGGTAGAAAGCTATTTCTTTCTAATGCAATACAAACTACTCTGTAGTTTTATTTTGTCAGATTCAAATAGGATTTTTCTTTTTTTTTGTTTCCTTTGCCATATACATTTACATGACAACATTCTGAATTGTTAGCACATTGGTTATTGGTATTTAGCGACCCAGAGCACTTGTGTGACTTCTTACTTGTGTATTTCAGGATGTTATCTCACTATTTCTAGCATGATTCTCCATACAGTATTACTGCTTTCAAGAGTATTAAACTGTTATCTATAAACACAGGTATGATTTTAAGACAAAAGGTCTTGATCCATACTCAGGCTTAAGATATTGTACCTCTATATTAGACAGTACAAAGCACTAGACAGTAACAAACTTAAAATAAGCTTACAGCATTTTGCGTTTACCTTTAAGACAAAATTGACGTTCATAAATATTTATGAACAACCCTCTCACACATCCAGCCTCCACTGGAACAATTCTCCAATTTTACAGAACACCTTGGTGAAGAGCTAGTTATTCCAAGGCTAAAACTGTAAACTCATACTTCGTATTATAATTTTGTGTAATGTCTATTTTCTATGCTGTAATTTATTGAATACATGAGATTGCTTTAACTAAGCAATGCTAACATCTGCAGCCTGTATAAGCCAAACTGGACACAAATACACAGTGGACTGAAGTTAAAGGCATCATCATAGAGGGAGATGGGCTATCTCAGCATTTTAATTATGGTGCTAAGGCCTCATGTTTGGTCTAGCTTTCCATCATCCACAGGATGGGCTCTAATTTTTTCTTCAGAAACCCCAGTATTCCATCCAGATGAACTTCTCTAATATGGCTATATTGCTCTCGACATCCATACCAGTTTAGTGTTTATTTGATTACCTTTCCATCGTTTTTTTTTTTTTTTTTTTTTGCACTGCAGACATATTTTGTAAGGACAAACAGCAAAGGACAGTAACAGGGGCAATGTGATACCCTCAAGATCTACATAAGTCTACTCTCAATTCACTTTTCACTCAGAAATTCCAGACAAAAGACAATGAAAAGGAGAGGGTGACTTTCAGAAGTTTTAACAACAAAAGTATTTGTGCTAGATGGATCATTTGTTTCAAGCCTAGTGTTTACTTTCAGCCAAAAGTAAAGAAACCTGCATTTCCAGTTTTTCCTTAAGTCCTGTTGCAGGAGGCTCCTTGTGAGCAGCAATCTGTTTGCTTCTTTTAGAATTTGAAAAGCAAATAGAATCTGAAAACATAGAACTTGTTTATTTGTTTCTTTCCTTAAGGGGCCTGTAAATACGTCTAGTCATGTGAACTATCTGGTGGTCATGTTACTTTTAAAATTGCTTCTTTTCAAAGAACTAGTGAGCTTTAACAGTGTAAATTAATTTTGATTAATTAATAGCTTAGATCTATCCAGCTTAGAATAAGTCTGATCCTTTGCTCTCCAAACAGGCTCAGTTCCCAGTCTTCCCAATAGCAACTTCAGTATTTCACAGCCAAATTTTAGGATATCGTTAAGCTGAATGTTAATCAGTGTTCATATTTGGTATTAGTCATCTCTTCAGCCTTGCCAAAACACTCCTGAGTTGACATGCAGAAACGTCTACTGATTGTATAGTGTTCAATTTCAAAAGCAGATATAAGAATTTTGCTGGATAGCAGAAGACCCAAAGTCGTATTCCTTAAGTCAATGACCAGAAAACAAAGCAAAATTAAATCAGAGACTAAATTTATGCAAGCTTTGGACCCATTGCCTTTCTTGCCAAGACTGAAGATAAAAGCAGGTAACAGACAAAGATGATTGGCTATCAATTAATGGCAAGTTTAAGAACAGTGAATTTACCCAAGTATTTTCATTTCTCTAAGGGAAGTATATTGATTAGGTTTTTGTTCTTGAAGACCTGTTGTTGTTCCAGCTGCAGGGAAGTAGACACTATAGGAGATTACTGCAGATAAGCATTGGGGAAACTTTCAGGTTTTCTGTGTAACAGAGAGATAGACTGTTGGAAAGCTACAGGTCTATTTGCTAGGCAGTTAATCATGGGATAGAAAACAAGGGTTAACATAAGGCTATTCCTACGGGGACAGCCACATAGGAAACTGTATATTAAAAAATATATATAAAAATTGGTAAAAAATATAACAGGTGAAGGGCAAAGTCTCTTCCAGTTATGTCAAACTGCAGGAGAATTCGGTGGCAACTGTAACCCAGCTCAAATAAGACGTGTGCTACCCTGCTACACCTGTATCACTACTACATGGAATAAATATGGCAACTGATAGTCCTTTCCACCATGGAGCACAAACCTGAAGGAACTTGAAAAAAGCAACAGCACAGCAACAATACCTTTATTTGATTTAAAGTGCAAAAAGGAGTCATTACAATATTCAGGAAGATTCACTTGCCATTATCACTAGCAATAAAGCTGATCAAACAGAACACAAGACAGTCTAACCTCAGTTCACTTGCTACGATACAGTAGCTTTGGAAGTGTACTTCATAGCAGGTAATGACTCTGCAGAGCTACAGCATTAAAAAAAACTTCAGGGAGATTTACAAAGCATCCAGCAGTACCTTATGCAGCAGTTAGGCAGAACGGGAAAAAACAATAGCTAAGAGACTTAAATAAATAATGTTGCTCTGGCAAGAGAACTAGGAAGTCATGACACATACCTTAAAAGGTTTTCAGCACCAGCTCTCATTCTTACTGCTCTTAAGATCTGTTGGTTTAGGACAGCTCTTTGATTTTGCAGCTTGCTTCGTCCAGTCTCAGCAAGAGGATTACATCCCTAGAATTAAGGAAACACTTCTTTTTTGTTGTTGTATTGAAACTTCTTTTTTGTATTGAAAGAGACTGAAAAGGGAGGAAGGCTAAATTTGAAGGAACATAAATGGCATGGGTTCTGTATGGATACAAATTACCTAGATATGAATTAATGAGATTGACATCAGTGGTGAATGACTGACAATGTTTCTTTTCTCAAACTTGGTCATTAAAAGCAAAAGACACACCACGACCAAAGTATTTGACATTAAATTAAAGGCAGAAAATATGTGTTTTAAAGCTTATATACATGTGTGAGCCAGCCTGTTCTCCCCTAAATGTCTTCTGAAGCTATTTATCAATGATAACCACATTTGACAGAGCATTATTATGTTTCTATGGGTTTCCTAGAAACAGTATCTGGCCAGGCAGCAACTCCAGTCACAGTGTCTGCTTAACCTTTGCAAAATATCAGGATTCCATACTGAGATGTATACAGACTTGAAATACCACTCTATCAAGACCAGGCTTTGGCAGCACCCCTGCTCACAGTCTCAAGTACCTTTCTAAGGATATCTGCTCTTGTTTCTTATGGTGCTCAGAACTTCAGTACCCCTTCGTTCCCTGTGTTCCTCTCTTTACATCTCTGCTTATCTGCACAACTCTTCTTCACGCCCAGGAAATGCCCTTGGATCTGGAGGCCTACCCTGCCACAACCCAACAGCACCAAAAATGTAAAATATGAACAAGCTTTGTAAGTCTGTGCATTCTCAGAGTGCCAGATGGAATGATTCATCTGCCCATTAGTTTTTCTTGTTACCTGTTGTCCAAACAAATATTATATATTGATTGCTCAGTATCAAGTAAGATGGGAAATAGAATACTATGAGATTGTATAAGATAAAATGAGATATGGAATAATGGAGTTTGGCAGGATAAGATTATGATTACACCTTCAGACACTCATCAGATTAAGCCCTTAAAGTAAAGCATAACTCCCAGAATTCACAGGAATGCTCCTGTGTATTTGTGTATTACACAAGCACAAGACTCAGACTGGAACATGTGTTTGAGCAGGCCTGAGCCATTGTATTCTGATGAGCACTGATAAGCTAAAACTGTTATAAATGAATAGGATCACGTTTGACATTGAAACATGACCTTCACACCTTTCTTAAATAGAAGTTTCACTTCCACTTTTTTACTTTATATCTCCCCTCCTCCCCACTCTTAAGTCTCAGATAGCTTTGAATACACATTTATAGCCAACCAGCGCTTCCCTGTAGCCTTAACTACTGATTCTGAAGCTAATAAGACCCCTCTGTTTTAATGCATACCCTTAAGTAAAGTGCATCCTTTTGAGTGGCCTGGTTGAATATCATTACAAAACTCATCAGGGTCCTACTGGATTGTGCATTACAAAATTAGAAGGCTCAAATCTGTCAAATACAAGTCTTCCCTCAAGTACTCCAGCCACTAAATTATGCACTATTTTGGACCTCTCCCTCTCAGTTTTGACTCAAAAAATTTGAGTTTTGCTATAACAGCACCTAGAAGTCTCTCAACAAGCTCTAATTATGAGTGGTCAGGCAATGGCATACCAGAACAACAAAACCAAGTATTTAAATAGAACATGAAGGTATGATAATCTACTCAAAGTTCAGTTCTTATTTGGGTTTGCGGGTGAAAGCAAGTTGACTTGACAACAGAGAAATGATTGGATCAATCCAGATTACACTAGTTCAACTAAAAAGCACATAGCCCAGTATTGTTAATTTATATTTCTGGTTTAAAAGTTATAAATAGGTAAAATCACAGGTTTGTGCTTTAGATATTCAAAAGCACCATTTGCCAAACAACTTGAAAAAGCATGCCGCGTTTAAGTTACTCTTACTGCAGGAGTGTTTCTGAATTGAAAGACCAATTGCAGCAGAAGCTAAAACTTGGGTGCAAAGTATATGCTCTTTTTGTTGAGAAAGCACTGGCAGCAGACAATGTGTAGAAGATGAAGGTCTTACTGGAGAGGACATGCACATGCAGCAAACTCATTCATTCATCTCAGACTAAAAGTAGTCTTTTAACTATCAAATACTTTATGCTCCTTTACACACATAGAGAGACACAAGCAAAGCAAACTTAAAGGTACAACATGGCCTTACATCCACAGGTTGCTTCCTGCTCTGAGCCTGCTTCTTTTTCCAGCCTGCCATTGTTTTTAATTCACTTTGTGCTATATAATCTTTCTCTTCCACTGGTATTCAAAGTCTTCTCTCCTTCCATTCCACCTGTGCCATTTCCATTTGAACATTGACAATTATCTCCTCTTGATGTTTGTATTCAGCTTGAATACTTGATCCTCACCTTGAGCCTGCCACCTCTATATCCCTGTACAGGTCTGTGATGCTTTCTTCCAACCTCTTTCTTAACCTCTGAATCCTAGCATCCTTTCTAAAAATATCTTTGACTTGCCCTGGTCATTTTCTCTATAAAGCTGCAGCTTCTTTCCAGAGCTCAGTTTCCTTCCTGTGTGCCAAAAAAGTTCCATGACATCATTCAAATACTTCTTTACAGCTCTACTTCTGGGAAACTTGCAGGAAGAGGGATTGCTTGATTCCCAAGCCCATGAAGCTCAGCAGAAGTAGTGTGTTTGTTTCAGTAGACTTTTGATCAAGCTCCAGCCCAGAAATCAAACAAGCTCACAATGAGCAGTGTGTTAAGGCTATTGCAAATGTGCAGCGATCTTATACTCTGCAAAGACAAAAAGTGGCAGAGATGTTTCCTGGCATTTTGGGACAAATCACTAATCACCGCATGAAGCTTTAATGCAAAGCTTTAATGCAAGGAAGTGACAGACTGAGGTATCCTTGTCCCCTCCAGTGTGCCTGTAAGAGCTGCACTTCTGTCTCCTGAATGAAAGACTTCTTGTGGACAGCTCTTTTCAGGACAGGCTCACCTGCTGCAAGCACACACCTCCCTTTTACTTCTCAAGGCCTGTAAGGAACCCCGTCTTTACATTTTGGAAAAATGTTTTTTACATCTCCTGAACAGGGATGCGGACACTCAGCTAATCTCTGTTCACTTGCAGGCCTAAAGTCTTTATTGTAATCAGGCTGCCAGAAAACTGAAGTCCTGCATAGAAGACAGTAAAAATAACCAGTATTTGCAAAAAGGCATGGGAAATACACAATCTGGGGAAGATTTCCCCTTATGTAAAGATTCGGTGTACTAATAAATTACTTAGCAGACACATTGAACAAAGTGCTTAATTTTGCTTTCCTCCATGTAGAAGATCCCTTTCCCAAACAGCATTTGTGTACATGTGGACAATACCAAGAACTGTGAGTGTTAATGTTCAGTTCATTACCATATCTGGCAGCCAAACTTCTCAGCTGTTTCCACACCTACAGTTTCATTCTTGTCAACAGGATGCTAGATGCTTCATTTAATTACTGTTTATTTCTTTGCTGAGCCAAGACTATTTGGAAAGTGAACCTGATCGTACCCTGGCTTATACACTACCACTAAAAGTATGAATAAAATAGTTAAATAGGAATAGTTATTACTAAGGAAGTTGGGAAAATTACCAAGAATGGAGTATGGTTTAAGATTTCATTGCATGCATTTGGGGATAGTGTGAAAAGTAAATTGAACAATTTTTCTAGGAAGACAATTCAAATAGTCAACTCAGCTATCACTTTTAGAATCTTCTCCCCCCCCCCCCCCTCCTCAGAGCACAGCTGCACTTCATAAAGAAGTGTTGAAAGTGCTCAAATATTATTACCCTTAGCTTCTGAGCCAAATAAAAGGTTTTTCAAACCTAAGGTTCAGTTAGCTAGTCATTTAATTTCTTCCTGCTTGGTTGAAAAGCAATGCTGAACTGCAGAATGAGGAAGCTGATTATGTTTGTAGTATGTCACTATCAGAGGCAAGTCCTGCACAGGAGTTACAGATCTTTGCCATACATTATTTATGTATGTAGTAAGGTAACATCTTGAAACAGATACTCATGTTAGAACTACACACTGAACTTAGGTGGCAGGATACCCCACTAGGGTTTATTATTAAGTTTATAAACATCATCCCACACACACTTATTTGGCCAACAATTGTATTATGAGTGCCTGTGGGATCCCAGCATGATGCTGTCAATGTCAGGCCAGGCACTGCCAGCTCAACAGCAGGAGCTCAAGCAGAGCTAGGAAATGGCTGACTGACTGTTCAGGACTCATGTGGGATTAAGGGGGAAGACTTCATTCTGCAGCTTACATGAGCACAGAGTTGGTAGCTAAGTAATCCTGTAGCCAGGTAGCCCAGGTCGGCTATGGACAGCCAGCATCTTGCTTCTGCAAAAAGCCCCAGTGCTTACCTCTTATCTGAAGGAGCCTTCAAATCCTCCCAAGTTTAAGGGGTATAGGCCGTACCTTCCTTTTTTCCCAGCTTTATGCTTCAGGCATTAAGAAATTGCCTGCCACAGAGGGCAGATAGCTGTCAGAAGTATGGGTCCCAAACAAAGCAACAGTTGTATTTAATTTGGATGCCAGGAAGTTCTTTCTTCAAAACAGAAGTATTTTTTAATATCAAAAATCCAATTGTAAAGGAAAAAAAACCTTGACTGTTTGCCAAGCAATGAGTAATTGCAGTAAGCATTTGAAACTAACATAAATATAAGTTACGAAATAGTGGTTTGAACTCTTACATGAGCCGCACACTATCTGAAGGTGACACAGAGTTGAAACTGGGTGTGCCTTCTTACTTAAAATAAAGAATTCCTTTCCAGCCAGCACAACCTGTGCTGCCCGTCAAGCACAGCAGTGTACACAAATGGCCATATCCTCCAGACAGTTAAATGTGTGTGCAACTTCACTTATGCACACAACTTCTTTGGTTGCAATAGCGATCACAGTAAACAACATGATTCACACCGGTATTTCTAGAACTGATCCCAAGCCCTGATAAATTATTATATTTATTTCCATTTTTGCACTACTACAATTAAAGTTTCTCTTGGCATGTTTCTACCAGTTC